TTATTATTTAATTTTTTTTGAAGTTTTTAATTAGTTAAATTTTTGAATAATTAAGATTTGAAAATTAGAAAAAAAATAATTAATTTTAATTATATTTAATTATTATTTTTTATATTTTAAAAATTTTTTTTAAAACTTATCTTTAATGATTTTTAAATTAATAATTATAAAAGAAAAATATAATTAATAAATTAGGTTTTTTGTTTTAAAAAAAATATTTAATAAACTTTTTTTTATAAACTTACTTTCAAATAAACTAATAATTAAAGAATAGTTATATTAAAGAATAATTATAAGAAAGTAAATTATTATTATCTTTCTTTATAGTTATATCTTTTAAAACTAAAAATAAAAAGTGTGATTATAATAAAAAGTGATTATATAAGAAGATTTTTTATATATTGTTACTAAATATTAATTTTTAAAAAGTATGACTAAAAAGATATTATAACTATAAAAGGTTTTTTATATAGCTTTAAAAGGTATTAATTCTTATAAAATGTATACTTATATATAATAAAGGATTTATATAATATAAAGTAATTATAGAAAAGAATAACTGTAATTAATTATTTTTTTTTTTTTAAAAAAAAAAAATAAAATAAAATTTTTTTTGTAAGATTTATTTCTGAATAAATCTAATATTTGAAAATTAAAAAGTAGAAAGAAAAGTAATTTTAGATTGATTTTTTTATATTTAAAAATTTTTTTTTTTATAAAACTTACTATATAATTTAAAATTAATAATCATAAAAGATAAGTATAGTTAAAAGTTTTTTTTTTAAAAAAATAAAAATAATATTTTTTTTATAAAACTTTACCTTCTGATAATTTAAGGATTAAAAAAAAATGTATTTCTTAAAATAAATAATTCTTTTTAGTTATTGTGATGAAAGAAAAAGAAATTTTCTAGAGTTCAAAATTTTAATTTTTTTTATCTTTTTCTTAGATTAATTATGATTAATATATTATATTATTCACTTGTGATTTATTAAAAAAAATGAGAATTAGAAATATTTATTAAATTTAAAATATTAAAGTCAATAATATATTATTTTATTAAGAAATAAACAATAAAATTCATAATGAGAAATTTTCAAAAAATCATATTCAAAAGATGTATTTGGTTGATAAAATATATATCTTTAATTTTAATAATAGAAAATAAGAAGCTATTATTTGATTAAAAGAATTTCATAATTTCTTTTGCATAGAGTGAATGATAATAGTTTATATTTATACATCAGTTAATATTGTTAATGTGTAATCTTTTCAGATTACAACTGTTAGATGTGATATTAGAAGGTTAACTTTTTTATAGTTTACGTAGTAAATCGATAGTTTTCAAGTTAAATAAAATTCTGTTATATACTGAAAAATATATTCAAATCTTTGACAAATATATGATTCATTTGTGATATATTGCAAAGTATATTCAATATACTATCAAGTATATTTCTATATGTTAAGTTAAATAAATATTAATCACATTACTAATACAAAGTATTATAAAGAAGTCTCAGGTAAAAAAAAGGTTTATTAATAAATAAACAAACTAAAAAATAAAAAAAATATTAAAATAAGAAATATAAAAAGGAGAATTAATCACAAATAGGAAAAAGTAGCCTTACGCTATCTTTACTAAAAAGGAAGATTGCATATAGCCATTATTGAATTGATTAGATTGCATCTAGTAATTGATAATTATCTTGTTCTAATGAATTTAGTCTTCTATATATATATTTAATATTATGTTAAATATATTAACTATATTAACTATATTAATATATCTGATATATTAAATATATTAATTATATTAAATATATTTAATATATTTAATATGTTAAACATATTTAATATATTTGATATTTTTAATATTTGGTATTATATTACATTTGTAAATCATATGTAGATTATATAATTATTATTCTGTAATAATATCAAATAAATACTAATATATATTATTATGATTTTTTAATTTATGATATAAATAATTAAATAAGTATTTGTTTTTTTATTTTATTTATTTTATTGCTTTTATTTTTTCTATTTTTTCTTTTTATATTTTTAAATTATAAATTATAAATGCATTAATAAATTCATTAATATATTGAATGTTTATATTTTTTCCAAAATCAAATTATAATGACAAATATTATAAAAAGCTATTTCAGCATATTAAAAATTTCAAAAAGCTAATTCTGAATATTTTGCATATTTTAAATATATTTTAAGTGATTAATTAGTAATATAATACTTGTTAATTTATTAAATAACATTATTATATCTCTTTCAATCAGATTATATTTAGATTATCCTTGAATATATATCTTTATAGTTAGTAATCTAAATGAAATTTTTTGAAAAAAAATGAAATATTTTTAAATATCTCAGGTTTTTGTCTAATCTTTTATTTATAAATTGGTCAAACTTTTTCAACATATTATTATATTAGATATTTAAAGAAAGTTTTTGAGATCTTATATATATGAAAAAGAGAATTTATCAAAAGATTAATAACTTCTTATAATAATAACAAGTTAATCTATTTATAATTTATTATTTGAATTTTTTAGTTTGATTATAAAATAAATTAAGTGATTAATTTTATTTATATCTCTAAGCAACTTAGCTAAAAATTTATTAGAATTATAATTTTTGTTAGCTTTTTTTTTTGATTTAATATTAATACAAATTATTTGTTTTATATTAAAATTAAATTTAAGAAGAAAAATTATAATCAATTATATAAACAGATTTCTGAATTTACTATAATATTTGAAAGATTTGACCTATAGTAGGTATTTTAAGACCTATCTTTGTTTTGTCATTTTAAAATAGAATAACTGATATATTAGTAAAGACAGATACAAATAGATTTATATATTAATAAATATAAGATAATAATGATTGATAAAATAATTATATATTTTTATTTATATAACTTTAGTTATTATTATTTATACTAAATAATGATAAATACTTGCAATAATAAATTAGATTGATATAATAATAGATAATTATTTAATGTTATTTACATATAAATATATTTTTTCTCATAATTTTTATATAAATTTTTGATAATCTAAATTTTCATTATTTCTCTTTTTTATTTCTCATTAGTTAAATTAAATTTAATTAAATTATAAATATAATCATGTAATTTATATACTTAAAAAATAAGAGAAATAATCAATTTTATCATACTGTATAATCTTTTGCTTTTCAGCAAGCAATTTTTGCTATTTTTTTTACAATTTTATACATATTATAGCAAAGTTAAATATTGTTTATAGTATTATAAATTTGCTCATATTTAATAAACTTTTTTTAATCTTTATTATTTTATTATTATCTTTTGAATTATTAGATTTCTGATATAGGTTTTATTAAACAAATAAAAAGAAGATGAATTGATTCTTTTTTAAGTATAAAAGAACATATTGATCTTATTATTTATATATTATATAGATTGAATCAAATATTCTGATTATATTATTAATTTTTACTGTATTTTACTTTTGATTTTATTTCATTTTTGTGATATTTTACTGTAAACATCAGCATGATTTGATGTGATATTTTCTATTTTTACCTTAAGATTTATATAATTAACATTGAAAAATTCCTGATATTTATTTATTGATGATTAATATATTAGCCCTTTATCAAATTTAGGATCAAATAAAAAGATTTATCAATTCATATTAGTAAAATATACTAATATTTTTTATGTAAAAAGCTTTTTTATAGGTATGAAATAAAAAATTAAATATAATATGTAAAAGCTTTATAATAAACCAGTTTTTAAGAAATTATAGCAAGACTATAAATATAAAATATAAATGTATATGATCATTTGATTTCTTTTTTTTTATATTTAATACTTTAAATTTATAAAATAAATTGCTTAAACATGCTTAAATTTTATTTGAAATTAAAAAATTTAATTTATAATTTACAAATTGTAATAAAAACAAAAAAATAAATTATATTTTTATATTTTTATATATTTTTTTATCATTTGATTTGATTATAAATGAGATGTATCAAAAAAATCAGGCTCTAGGAATTTTTTTGACTAAAATTAACAATAACATCAAAACTAAAATGCAATAAAAAAAACAAAATTTTGTTAAAAAATACCCGGAGTCTGATTTTCCTAGACTTCTCATATATAACACGTGATCATCTTAGCTAGGCGCATCTTTTATAAATATCTCTTTTTAATTAATTAAAACTCACGTCATGTGATAACAAACTTATGAGTTAAACGTCATAACAATTAAAGGTAGGTATAAATGAATTTTTTTTTTTTTTTACATATATATATGAATTATGTATATATATGTGTGTGAAAGACTACTACTTTTCTAGCATAAGTGATTAATACAAAATTTTCGAAACCCATTCAAAAGAAAATAGATTAATGTTCAAAAAGATGGAAATCATATTATCAAATGTTTTAAAGAGTCATATAATAAAATATTTCGTGAAACTAGGTTTAATAACGACAAAATATTTAATTTTTGTTTCTATTGTTATTATTCCTCACTACTACCATTATATCCTACGATTATTCTTCTGTCAACCCAATTGCCATTTTCATCTAAACAATTGTTCTCATGTGAACCATCTTCTTCATCAATTCCATATATACCAAAATCTAAAACTTCGAACCAAGTCACTGAATTTCTTTGAACTGCGGCCACACATCTGCGTTCATCAAATCTAACTTGCCTATTATTAATGTAAAATGAAAGATCATTAACAAAAAAGTAAAAACTATAAACTAAAAAACATATTTTTTCAAAAAAAAGATAGTTGCAATTAAACTTACCAAACACCGCTTAAACCGGTCAATAAATCACGCACGTGGCGTCCAGTCTTTACATCCCACATGCGAAGGGTACCATCTGAGCCCGAAATGACTTTACTCTCGTCATGCTGGAAGCACGTTATTGCGCCAGAATGTGTAGTCAGAACGTGTTTGCACGTACCATCATCCGGATTCCAAATACGAAGACTTGAATCAGCAGCTGCTGAGACAAGATGTTCATGTGAGAGATCAAGAAGACCGACAAGAGAAGAATGTCCTATTAAGGGATTAGAAATTAACGTCTCATTATTATACAAAATCTTTGTGAAGGAGGCATATTCCTTTTTATGACTAAACAAGTAATTTTACCTTCCAATGTCCAGATATTTGTTCCATCCTCTAAATTCCAAACCTTTACGGTACCATCCATACTACCACTCATACATCTTTTGCGTTTAGCATCCAGTACAACGGAATACACTTTCTGAGTATGCCCATGTAATCGCCAAATACATTCACCGCTCATAATGTTCCATACTCTGACAGAACAATCATAACTACCACTAACTAAAGTGTTGCCGACACCCGCTAAAGCACGGACAGAATGGGAATGTCCGGAAAGCGTACGGATATAATAGGGATTATTATCATACTGTGTATTATCAGAAGGTGACGAAGGGATGGCAGGGTGAAATGGTTGATCCGTTTCAAGGTTCGGAAGACGCCATACTTTCAAAGTCGAATCTCTCGAGCCGGTAACAATCAGCGGAATTTGTGGTTCAACAATTTGTGGTTCATTGGGATTAGTATTAACATTTTGCGGCATTATGATTTGAAGGCAACGAACCGTACTGGTATGTCCTGGAAATACATGAGTACATACACCAGTTTCAAGATTCCATACGCGCACAGTACGATCCGTAGAACCTGATACCAACGTATTATTTACATATTGTAATGCCCATACGCCTCCATCATGACCAACGAGTCGATTAATCAATCTACCAGTAGCAGTGTCATAAACATTGATGCACTGATCATCAGATCCTGAGATAATCTTCTCAGAATCAAACTGTAGACATGTAACAACATTATTTCCATGACCGGGAAATGAAATATGTTTATGCCGTCCATGTAGCCAATTTTGTCGCATAAGGTAATGACGACGATAGATAGCTTTATAAGGATGATCGGCCGAGGGTGATAGCGGGAGCCTATCTTCAGAAAGTTCAGCTCGGTCACTACTTTCTTGAGACATTGCATCAACATCGCTATCGTCACCATCATAAGGTCGGTCTCGATCATCATCTTGATGAGGTTCTGGTTCATCCACTATATAACTATTCCAATCCACATCAGCCTTGGCCTTTCCTTTATCTTGTTGTGATGAAGAGTAGTCTTTATCAAACAATGAAGAGCTGGCACCTGTTGAAGAAGAAGGTTCATCAGTACCTGTTGGTGAGAGCGTGTATGAATCTTGTAAAATATCATGATCAATATTATCTATTTCCAATTCATTACTTTTTTCAATTATTATATAATCCAAATCATCGACAGCCATATTATTATTGTCATTTTGATTATATGGTGTTAACCTCGAAGAATCTTCTATTTTATCTTCGTTAACAACCCTCATATTATCCGTATCATCATCATCAGCTTCTACAACAGTTCTTTCTTCAGAAGACGACGTACCACTTTCGTTATTGTTATTGGCACCATCTAGATGCCTGCTTCTATTATGTGAACAATTTATTGAACGTAAAAGTCCCCAATTTTCGGAAATGGCACGTTGTTCTTCCGATTCATCAACACCAAAACCATCCTTCATAAGACGATGTTGCCATGTTAAACTATCTCCATCTATTACATTTCTCCACCTTTTATTTACTTGAGCCGCTTTACACATACTAGCGGTATCTAAATACTTTACTATGTGTAAACTAAGTTCGAGAGGAAGCATCCCAACAAAATCCTTTCTTAATGCGGGTAGGATAATATTGCTGACGTATTGAAGGGTGTTTGTAGGACAACGTCTTAGAAGTTGAAAAAGCATGTAAGATTTCATTGACGATGGTAAGGCATCGAATGTCGCCAACATGGTATTCAAATCCCAAAGGTTAGGAGTGTGAGCTGAATCAGTCGCTAAATTGTTTAATTGTTGTATATTCCAACTATCATTATGGTTCATTGAAGCAATAGGTTCATCAACGGTTATGTCATCATCTACATCATTGTGATCAGCAAAGAAATTATCAAATTGGTTTGTCCCATTTGAAGGAGCAACTCCTGCAATAGGAGAAAGGGATGGCGATGGTAAAGCCGAAGAATGGGTACTTCTTGTAGTCGAAGGAGTATCCATGCCGAGGTTCGATGTGGAAATAGTATTATAATGTCTTGAAGTAATGGTAGAAGGAGTTGATTGAAGAGCCATCGGCATGATCGATGATGAAGCTTCCTGAACGTTGCTCATGGGAGTTCTCAGTATATTTACTTGATTAGAATTTGGGGTACGAAGTTCATAATCCATCAATTGCTTTTGTGAGACCAGCTCGCTTTCTTGTTCTGGTAAATTTCCGACAGCCTTTGCACGAACCTTCTTATGTGGTGGAGATAAAGACCTATGAGAAAGCGAACCGCTGCTACTATTTGACTGTTGCTGGTCGACAGTAGAAGTTGTGAAATCGCATGATGATGAAGGTTCCACAGGTGATGCGGGTCTTTTACGAGCACTAGTACCTGTAGTTTTCAATTCCGAATAATTATCATTAAGCGATTGATGTTTTAAATTGGAACTAGTTTGAACTGTTTTTGATGTTGAAGTGGTTGGACCAGAGGCTCGCATATTATATAGGGCTTCTTGAAGCTAAACGTGTTATCAAAGAAGGGAGTGAATTTGACAAACATTAGTAATTATATTCAAAGGAGCGAAAAAAAATTTTTTTTTTTTTTTTTCCCCATCCATAATTTAACAATTATTAATTATGCTTCTTATGATATATACCAGGTATCATCAATATATGATTCAAACAAAGGAACAAAACAAAAGTCCTGAAATGATATGATAACCTTGGAAAAACGCAGATGAATAAACTTAATGATATAACTAATTTTGAACAAAGTTTAACACACCTTAACAATTTGTTGTTCGGAATCTTCATCCTCACGAATATAAGCTGGTTGACCATTTAAATCAAAACAAAAACGTTTCAAAGCAGGAGGAGTTGGAGTATCAGCAAGAGGATATTCCTTTGGATCTAAATGTTTAGGTAAAGGGGGTGGCTTCAATAACAGTGGAGGAAAGGAAGTTGTCGTGGTGGTAGTGGTTGTGACCACGGTGGTGGTAGTAGTAGGAGCCAAAGAAATGTTGGCAACAGTTGGTAATCTAAATTGAGCGGAAAGATTTTCTTTTGAAGAAGGAGACGATGTCGTTGACTTTTTACTTGAGTTGAGAGGCGACATTGGAGTTGAAGGTGATGGTGATTGACAACCTTCAGAAGTAATGTTAGTGTCTACTTTAAAGGTTGAAGATTTGCTGTTTTTCATTGCTAGGGGTGAAACCAAATTCACTATTAAAGTAAACGAAAAACAGATATCGAACAATCTTTAACAAGTAAAGATGAGTTCCCAAACGTAAAAAAAATATAGTTTATATATTTTTATTTATCTGCTTGAGACTTCAACAAGTTATATAGCAAAACTATAAAATATAGTAGAGATATATATATATATATGAATACTGCCACCCGAAAAAGCTCAATAATGAGAGTATTATATGTATTATTATTTGATATACCCTATAAAAATACTCATATACTTTTATTAATTTGGACTTCTATTTGTTTCGTTATGATTAGTTATAAAGAAAAAAAGTTTGTAGAAAAGGATAAAAAAAAATGGTTAAGTAATCAGAGGCAGAGCGAAAAGGATTTCTGGGCTTTTGGCTTTTTTTTTTTTTTTTTTTAAAAAAAAAAAAAAAAAAAAAAAAAAAAATTTAACACGATGATTTGTGGAAAAGCAGGGAGGGAATAGGTCGGGCAAATATGAATTAGTAGGTTTTTTTTTTGTATGAAAAATAATGAAATAAGGGATGGAGGGACAAATATAAAAGACAGGCTTAAGCGGCGAAGACATAAACAGATTTTGGGCAGAAGTTATTCACGACTATGTGTTTAACTAACCAAATACGTCATTTTTGTTTCTTTATGTTACACATTTTAGCAATATTTAGAAGCTAACACAATAGATTTAAACAATTTACAATTACTATAATTGCTGTGAACAGAAATTTTTTCTCGATTATACATCTCGTGATTTTTTTTCAAAAATTGTTGGTATAACATAATCACATAATCGCGGGGATATCCATTTGTCATCCCATTTAAATTTCATTGCTTCATGAACAAACATCACACATGCTTGAAGATCACGGAATATGCGAATATGCTGCGGTTTGTGCTGAAACAATCAATGATCTTCATCTTTTGTTCTATAAATAAGTGTGGTATCATGTGAAATAAAAACGCGTATCATTTTCGCGTTGGATCATGGATTAACGAGCGAATCTGATTCTGCAGTTTCTTTTATCATGGAAACTCGTTAAAAAAAAAAAGTGTACATACTATACTACAAAAAGTTTTTTAATTTATTTGTTTCTTGTGTTAAAATAAACTTCTCTTATTGATATGAAAATATTCTTTTTCGAAAAAAAATATATAATATTCTTATTGGTAATGATTAATTACGTGCAAAAAAAAAAAAAAAAATCAATAATTAATACAAATCCAATTGTAAAATAACATGCGAAATGCAAAATAAATAGTCTCGTCAACGCTAATTGTTTTTGAATGGGTGATGCTTTTTTATGAAAATTATGACAATAATGGAGGCAAAGGCAGATACTACAAAAACGAGTTAAAATGTATATACAAAAACAACCACTATTCCAATCTAAAAAAAAGCCAAGCCGCCAATATAAAAGAAATGTCAATTGTTCAAAAGAAAAAAAAACTCAAAAAGAGGGAGAAAAGATTTCGAGGAAAAAAAAAAAAAAAAAATGGAAAAAAAAAAAATTTAACAAAAAAAAAGAAAGTTCATCAAAATACTAAGAATATTTTTGTATATTACAAGAGTTTTTTTTTTTTTCTGTAGGCCTGCCTTTTCAACAAAAAAAAAAAGTGTATATGTATTTTTTATCTATAATTTTTTTTAGGTTTAAAGTGTCCATTGTTCCAAATTCTTCCCACATTATATATTATTTAGCTTTAAGATCAGTCATGGAGGATTTTTTCATAGAACTACTTCCACTTGTAGTATTACTAGTACCAGAAGACAAATCTCGATTAACATCGCCTAAAAACGAAACACCTTTATAAAGAAACGCATCAAATTCCGAAGAATCACCACTTCGATTATTTCTTGGTTGACTACAAAATATTTCGGTATCATGCATTCCAGCATTTGGCTCAATTTCATATAATGTTGGTGATCCAACAAGTGTTGAACGTCTTGAAGGATTAAATGACGGTGAAACCAATGTTGAAGCTGATATTGGTATTGTATTTAACGTGGCAGACGTTATGGATGATGATGACGACGAAGTTAATAATCCTCCATCATGTATACCACTAATCGAAGGCTTCCTTGATTTTCCTGCTAACTTTAATAAAGAGGGTCTACGTTTTTGTTGCGGTTTAACAGGTACTTGTTGCACTTCTTCTACGGGAATTGGTGGTTTTAAAGATGAAGGACGTCTCTCACGAATATGTGTATTGATAGTTAAATCGGGTTTATTTTTCGAAGGTGAAACAGGTGAACTTAATGACACATTTTCAATCGGTTCTGCGGTGACAGTATGTAATAGTAAATTAGGTGTTCCTGTATTATTGGCAACATTGTTATTATTACCACTTATGTTAGGACCACCACCACTGTTTATTATTTCAATATCATCGTCAAAATGTCCAGATTTACGATCTCCTGGCGTTGTCACTTTACCGGTAGCGATATCAACTATGTTACCAGCTGACAATCTTCTAATATCAGCTCGATTATTCCGTGCTTCAAAATAACTTGTGTCTTGTTCATCTTCAGGATTTGGCACAAAGGGTGCAGGTTGTTGCCTTATATGTTCCCAATCAATATCTTTAAAAAATGTATGAGATTTAATTTCTGATACAGAAGGCCTTTTCTCGGGATCTTGATTTAATAATTTTGTTATTAAGTCCTTTGCTTCTGCTGATAAATATCCTTCCGGTGGCCATTGTATATCATGATTTAATATATTTCTAAATATTGCTTGTGGTGTATCATCATTAAATGGTGGATATCCTATTAAAAATTCAAATAAACATACTCCTAATGACCACCAATCAACGGCTGTCGTATGTCCAATACCAAGTAATAATTCTGGTGCAAGATAATCTGGCGTTCCCAACAATGCTTTAGAACTTTGTCTGTTTTGCCGTTTAGCTGATTTTGATGATGTGCTGTTTGTTGCCGTATTACTTGATAATGATTTTGATGAATATTTACTATTATCCAATCCTTGAAAATTCACATGCCCTCCTTTCTTCGAAATTTCATTAGGAAATACTGCAGAAACTGGTCGTGTATGAGACGTGCTTGCTCTTGAATCTACACTACCTGACCTTAAACTTTTTGCAAATGATTTTTTACCATTTGGCGATTCATTTTCTTCTTTAACAAATGCTAAGGAACTCTTTTCGGGTATAGATATTCTTGATAATCCAAAATCTGTTAATTTTATATGTCCTTCTGATGTAATAAGCATATTATCAGGTTTTAAGTCCCTATGTGTAATTCCGTTATTATGTAAATATTCAAGAGCCAATACAACTTCCGCGGTATACATCCTTGCCATTTCTTCTCCAAATTTTTCAAAACATTGAAGTAATGATGACAAATCACCACCAATTAGATATTCCATAACCTAAAAATTGCATGTTGTTACTAATAACATATATATTCAAATAAAAAATTGAGGGGAAAAAAAGAATCTCACGGTACTCACCAAGTATAAATAATCTTGACTTTGAAATGCATAATAGAGTTTTACAACAAACGGAGTCCTTGATAAACTAAGTACTCGACGTTCTGCCAATACATGATTTACCATGTTTTTACGTACCATGTCTACTTTTTTCAAGATTTTTATAGCATAAAGATCTCCTGTGGTTTTTTTTCTTGCCAAATAAACTTTACCAAATGCACCTCTACTGATTGGTTTAATGATTTCAAAATCTTGTATACTTGGTATTTTAGTCTTTGATCCTATTTTTTCTCCATTTGTGACCGGAGTACTAGGTGCTATACCGTCTTTATTGAGTGATGAATTACTAGTACTACGATTGTTTCCTCCGCGTAATACTGCTGCAAAAAGTGATATCAATTTTTTACCACCTTTTGGTGCTGGTGGTGTAAAATCTGAATCTATTTAAACAAATCGAAGAGAGAAAGGACAAAGTAGTGAATAAAATAATTTTTATGGGTTATTTAAATCAAAACTATACTGTCTCACCGTAACAAAACAAATGTAAATCCCTCTTTTGGCAAAGAAAAAATCATGTAATAAATATAAAACTACAAATCATACCAATTTCAAGATGCATTTTACCGTAGGATACCGAACCGTTACTATCTTGTCGTTTATGAGACGATGCAGAACTACCATCTTTATGACCACTATTATTACGATTCCTATCGGATCTTGATTTATAACTTGTAGACATTTTATAAGTAGCTGACGTTGATAAGCGGCTTGACACCGATTGTTTCCTATTAACTTTTGCTGGTATACGTAAACCTTCTCTTTCAATTCCCGTAGTAGCAGCTACGGCAGCTGCGGCTGCAGCTGCAGCAATAGCGGATGTTGTTCCTGCATTTGACAATGCATTTGTTGAACGCAATTTTTGATAATAAGAGCGAAGTGTATCATGTTTCTCTTGAACCTACAATTTAATCGTAATATAAAGGTGAGTAATTATTGTAGATAAATAAATATTTATTTATATTTATAGTTAAGAAATGTTGAATTACACACCACATGAAGCAATCTCTTGCCAGAAGTCAAAATGTAATCATCTCTGGCAGAATTTTCATCTCTGGCAGAGTTTTTCTCCATATCATCGACTACTCTTCCCAATTTATTCGCATATTTGTCGCTTTTACGAAGAGCTTCACGACGATTCATCGTTTCTTTAAGTTCGGCAGCCCTATAAATAAATGATAAATAAAACAAAGAATATGAGAAAAGAAATAACCGATTTTTTTTTAAAAAAAAAACAATTCAATGACATCATATTTACTTTAAACCAATTTCCTCCATCATTTCAGCATCTTTTACACTGTAATAATCTTGATAAAGCGTATTTCGTTCCTAAAGGTAAAATTAAATTAAAAGATTACATCAAAACAAAAGGTAGAGTAATGGGCCAACGAATCCTTACCAGTATCTCGGCCTTTCTTTTAGCTACATCACTCACTAACCTACGTAATCTACCATCACATTCTTGCAATTTAATTGCATAATCGGTGGTGATAACGCAAATTTCGGAATGTGCATCCAATTCATGGCTTGGTATCATTTCTTCACAAATACGACAAAGTATATAATCATACATTGAAAATCCAGAATTCATTGTATTAGGTACACTGCTTGGTATTATAGTATTTGTAGTATTATTATTATTATTTTCCACGACACCTCTCAGCGACATTGAAGAACTACGTCGTGATAATGTAAATGCTTGCGAATCGAAAGAGAGCGATCTAGATTTTTCTGGCTGTGGTGGTTTAGGTAAATGTGTATTACGCATTGGACTGGGTTGAACCATTGATCTAGTCGGAGATCCTGTAGGTGACACACTAGTTGATGATGTCGGACTATGAAATGCATTCTTCAAAGACTTTAAAAAGTTCATGACTGGTCTCGACTAAAAAATTGTAAGAATAAAATAAACAAAATTGCAATACGTACTAAATTATAAATAACTAGTTTACCTTTTTGGCCTTCTTCCTTGATTCAGGGTCAATATCTTCTTGTTGTTTTTTAAGTATAATACCAAAATCAATTTCTCTATTCATCTCCTCATGAAGTAACTGATCAACTTGCTTTCTGGTTAAACTGCTCCAAGTTAATAGATTATCGTCCATGCATGGACGTGGTGGAGGTACATACATTATAGGGCTTTCAAATATGGCTTCGTTTGCTGATGCACGTCTTTGTTCAAGTGAAACTTTGAATGATGAATGTTGTGTTTTAATTGGAGTAGACACATGACGCGCAAGTGGTGAACTAAACGCAGGCTGCGGCGGTAATAGTGAATTAAGCTTACTATCCATTTCACCGCTTGTCAAAGATTTTCTTTTCTCTTGCATTTGTAAAATCGTACGTGGGGGTGAATATGATGACGGAGTCACCGGAAGTGAAGGTGAGGGCAAAGGAGAAGGTGACCATTCTGAACCTGTAGTTGGCATATCATCTTTATTACCGCCGTCTCCAGATAATTCTGGATTTGTTTCGGTAAATGAATGATTCTATTTTAAAATTTGAAAAGGGGATGGAGAAAAATTATTACAGAATTAATTTTACAAAATTAATTGGCTATTATACTTACCACTGCTTCTACAGCTCTCGTTACATCTGCAAAGACATAAACTAACTTTGTCAAAAGCTCTTCAGCATCTGCATTACCTACAGCCATATTTCTTTGTGCTTTCATAAGTTCCTGTAATTCCTTCATGATTTCTACCGCAACATTGAAATTCAATAAATCATGAACTACCGTCTTTAAAATGCGACGGGCTATTCGATCAATTCGAGTCAATAAGAGCGTATGTGATGAAGCTAAAAAAAAAAAAAAGACAAACTTTAGAAACTGACATTCATTATGTGTCTAATTTAAGGATCTTTTTGAATATTCCTCTAAAATATAAGATAATATGTATATTTCTTTTTTAGATAAATTTTTTTCCCATACCCGGCTGAATCAAAGCAGTAAATTTCGAACATTAAATGATCCAAAAATTTGCAATTTCAAATAAAAATAATTATAAAAAGGGAAGAAAATATTCTCTCTTAAAATGAGAAAATGTATCAAAAAAAAAAAAAATGGTAGTAAAATTATCAACAAAATAAATATATAAATATATCTATCTCTATCTTTCTATTTAAATATAATCTTTCTCCCTTATATTAATTCACTTACCCAAAATAGATTGAGGCCAACTATTAGAATGAATTAATCTTCTTTCGGACGCTTTTCTTTGAAAAATAATATCTTTAGGTTTAGTATCACCATGTAAAGATATTGATTCCATTTTATGAGTAATTTGTTTATTGTTATTATTATATTGCGCATATGTTGTTGGTGATATTGATGGAGTTAGTAACTTTTTATGATTTGATGGTAAAGATGCTTCATCATCAGTGTCACTAATCAAAGCAGAATCATCATTGTTATTATTATTATTAGTTTTATGATTACCACCACTTCCTCTATTGTTATTATTACCACTAGCAGATTTACTTAAAGTTCTTTGAGAGTTACTTCTACGAACAGCTATAGGAGAAGATTGCTTGTCATCATCATCACTCCAACCATCATAAAAGAGTTCACTTAATAATTCTTGATACTGATAAGATTGATACCAAGTTTCCAAGATTTGCATAATACTTTTATCAGCACGACATTTTGTTTCTTCAAGATCTTTTAATAGTTTTCGTTTCACTTTAGGAAAAGTGAATTCGGGAGAACCTTCATCAATAATATGTAAATTACTTAAATGATTTTCTTCAGCATCAACAGATAAGTCAGGAAAAAATCTGTGAGTAGGAGATCTTTGAAAAGAAGGCCTTCTTTTCATTGAAGAAGATAAAACAAGAGAAGATTGTTCATCATTTGTAACATAAGCATCAGAGTCGGTTTCTATCGAATCAGTTTCAGAATCTGAATATAATGAATTAGGATTTGAAGGATAATTTTCGGATTTCAAATTCAACAAACGTTTGAGTTGTGAACTAGCACCGCTGGGACGACGCTGCATGGGTTTAGTTGTTTTTTGTTGACATAATGAAGTAGAAGTAGTAGTAGATACATCATCATCACAACCACCAGCAGATCCTAAACCTGACGAAATTGGAAAAAGTTGTTGTTGGGGGTGGTGAGAATAGAAAAGAGACTGCGGAGAAGAAAATTGTGGCTGTAAAGCTGAGGAAGAGTTTGAATTGAGTTGATTACATGTATAACCTATTGTCGAATTTGTTGGTGCTGAGGTGGTAGTTGTTGGTTGAGGGAAAACTTGATTTCCTTGTAAAGAAGTAGTTATATTACTTGATCTTCCAGAAAAAACTACTAAAGATTGATGCCTTTCCCTCGTATAAAAAGGGAAATTTGTTGTTGAAGAATCAGAAGTGGATGAAGCAAAGAGAGGAGAGTTTAAAGAGCTACTACTAGAGATTGAACCAGTTCCAGGCGAAGAATAATCAAAGTCTTCAAAAGAAGACCTATTACTTGTATCACTTTCAGTGGTAGTAGTAGTAGGCGTTGAGGGAGAGTATAAAGGTGAGTTACTACTACTACTGTTATTATTAGTAGTAGGAGAATTTGTAGCAGCTGGGTAAAGATTTGATTGAGCACGAGGTTTTATTGAAAGAGACTTCTTGAGTAAACTTTGACTTGAATTGGAGGTAGAAAGACTTCTACGAGTTCTTCTCAATTTAGCAAAATTCTCTTCAGCCATATTATTATTATTATTATTAGCAGAGGACGGCGATGACGAAGAAATATTTGAGAAGGTATTTGTATTAGATGTATTAGCTTGTCTTTGTTGTTGAGGTTGAACTGCTAAATTAATATTTGTTGTGGTAGATAAAGAAGCTGGTAGACTATTTGGGACAGTATGTTCACCAGGCAGAGAACGCGATAGTAACGGTCTCCGGTTTTCTTCTTCGTGCATTGTATTTTATTTTTTTTTTTTTTTTGAAAAAAAGAAAGTCTATTTTTTATGGAGAGATCTCGAAAAAGTCAAAGGAAAAGAGAAATATGATATATATATATGTGGTTTTATTGTGGAAAAATACAAACCAAATACCGCTACTAAAAGGGGACTAGTTTTTTTTAAAAAATGGGGACATATGTATATAATGTGGTAAAAAAGTCAAAATAATAAATAAAATATTTTAAAACAAAGATGTAAGAAAAGTTTTTATTCTCGTCAAAGAAAGAAAATTAATATTTTTTTTGGGGGAAGAAATTAAGTTTGCGAAATAAAATCTCTGATAATAATCAACAAAAAATTTTTTAAGAAAAAGAATTTTATTGTATAACAACAGAACAAGATAATTCCGCAGTGTTGTAACACTACTAATGGAGAAAATGGACTCTTACTATAACCTATAGTATAAAATATGACAGTCTATGCTTTTTTTGTGGTAAAGCAAGAAAAAGCAAGGAAAAATAACGGTTTGAAGAAACTTGTATTTAAATATGACGCCACAAAAATTTTCAGGGGTCCAATTGGAAAACGCCACAGTTTTTCTAATTTAACGCATATGCGATTCAAACAAAGCGACGAATTATTCAAGATTTTTATATTGAAATAAAAAATATTTATAATTATTTATGTAAAAAATGTAAAAAAAGAAATCATATGAAAATGATTGCTAAGAAAAAATGGTTTTGGAATTATTTAAAACGCTACTACCCTTTTATTATACTTTATCTTTCTCTATATTTTATCAAAATCACATTATACTTTATATTTCTTTATTTTATTAAAGTCGTATTGTTTAATAAAATATTTATTCTAAAAATAATTTTTTTTCATACTAAAATATTTTGTATTTGACAAAAATAATTAAACCTAAATTAATATTAACTTTAAATTTCTAAAGATAATTTACTTAAACTAATAACTAAACTTAGTTAATAACTAAAAGAAATTAATATTATATTTTAATTTAAATTTATTATATATCATATAAATTTTATTTTTTTTTAATTTTAATATTATTATATATTTTAATATTTTAATATATTCTAACATTAAAAATCTATAAAAAAATCTATAATTTAACATTTATTTTCTTTTATTGTATAATAAGTATTTAAAATAGTTTATTATACTGATTAAATAAATATTATTAATTTATAATATAATTAAAAGAAATATAAAATTAGATAAATTATTTTTTTAATAAATTTAATATTTATAATAAAAAATATAAATTATTTAATGATTTTAAATTTTATTTATAATGAAAATTAATAATATTCAGATTTTTTACAAAACTATTTATAATTAATATTGGATTTTAAAATGAAAAACTTATAATATTTAGTAATATTTTTAAAGTATTTATAATTATAAAAAATATATTATATATAATATTATATTATAATTACAATTAATAAAATATATAATATTAATTATAAATTTTAAGATTTTTAAATAATATTAAATATTAATCTTTTTGATATCTAATAATTATAATTAAATAAATTTTATATATAATATATTAATTAATATTATATTATTTTAAAAATCAAAATCAATTTTAATTTAAATTACTTATTAATAAGATTTTTAACAAAATAATAAAAAATATTAGTCTTTAATATTAACTTTTATATTAATTATTTTAAAATTAAATTAATTTAAAATTTAAAATAATATACTAATAATATAAAGTAAAGTTTATTTAATTTAATTTATTAATTAATTTAATTAAATAATAAATAAATATAAAATTTTTATAATAGAAAAAGAGAAAACAGTTGGAAAAAATCAATTGTATTTTATATAAAAAATATGATTTTTAAATTAAAATATATTTAGATTTAGTATTAATTTATTTTTTATTTTTTCTAACTATTTTCTTTTTTTTTTATTATAAAGGTCTCATATTATTTTATATAAAATTATTAAATAAAATTAAATTATTTTAATAATAAAATAAAAAATTTGAAAATTTTGAATTATTAAATCAATCATAAAAGACAAGTGAAAAGAAATAAGATAAATATTATTCTTTAAACTATAAATATAAAAATTACCGTAAAATCTCAAATTTAAGCACCCCCTTTTTGCAATCACGTGATGGATAAAATTAGTAAGGGTGCTTAATTT